ATATTAAATTTCTGTCACAGTTATAACACGAGTTAAAAATGATTTTCTTGAACAATGCGAGACTTTTTTCGAAAATTTTGAAAAATATTATCTTGAAAAATACTTGTGAAGAAATGAAAAACAGGTGTTTCATATTTTTGCTTATACTCTTTACAGAAAAAAAGTTTTAATATCTGGGACATATATGTCAAATTTTCCTTAAATTTGTGCGATTTGACATGGATGGACCCATATATGTAAATGATTACACTAAACATTTAATTAATTTACATTAAGGTGACCAATCATCCTCATTTGGTGAGGCCAGTCCTTCTTTTGTGTGTTCTATTCTTCCTCGAAAAGTGCCCTACCTGTCATCCTTTTCGATATTTTCAAACTACAGTTAATATCTGTATTCAGAGATGCCGCGTGGAACTATTTGTTATAACTAAACTGGCGAATTGGTATCTGGAAACAGTCGCCAATTTATGTATTTTAAATACGAGAGGCGAATTTTAACTTTACATTATACATTAATACATTAAACATTAAACTACACGGTCGCCAGCCTAAACCTGGGTATGGCCACACTGTACAATGTAGAATATATGTATAAATATTATCAGAAGGCCAGAAGAGCATGAGAGGGAAAAAAAAACAACAGAATATTCATGTATTGATTTTATTGTATTTGGCATATTATTAAAAAGCTGTGCAGCAATGCAGAATGGATGTTTGTTGATCGAAGAATTGCTAGTGTATATCCTGTAATAATTCAGGTGTTCTTGTATGGTAGTTATGTATTTCTTTATTGCTCACAAGTTATTGATTTTTATTATGTATCTATGATTATAATACCTTATTCGAATTGTATTTATTAGTCACATAATGAAATACAGTGTACACGAGTACAATAACTAAGTAACCAAAATAAAAGAAAACCATCACCATACGAAAACAAAGATTAAAAATTGAAACAAATACAATTCGCCACCTTAAACCTATAAACAAAACAACAATCTTGTCAGATTTGCCAGGAGTTCACTCCAAACTCCCTCTTAAGTACTTTTTGCACGTGTCAGAGAGAGGAGAGTTGCTTTCTACTTTTTAGTGTTGCACCGTTGTTGACCACCACTCACTCAATCAGTGTTGCCATATCGGCGGAATTCCTGCCATTTTCAGCGGATTTTGAACTCGTACGGCGGAAAGAAATTAGTTTCGCGGACAGCGGAATAAACGGCGAAAATTAATAAAGGACTGGGAAAATAAGCGGAATTTAAATTTCACTATTAGGCTGGAATATGTAGAGTTTGTTCAAGGCAGTTGGGGACTCGAAATACGCCAATAACGACGGCTATGACAAGAATAAGCAATTGTCCTCTATATTCATGTATTCATAAGCATTTGTCCTTTTCTATATTAATTTTCTATGGCGTTTTGTCTTTAGTAGAATAAATTAAACATATGGAAAAATAACTTTATTTTTTAACGTTTAGCGATTAGGCTGGAAATTTAAAACCAGTTCAGCGGATTTTCGGCGGAAACTGAAACGAACATGGCGGAATCCCTCTAAACACATGTGGTAACACTGCACTCAATCATCTAGGCCAGCGTTTGCCAACTGGCAAAGAAATGGCGTCGGAGCTCCGTCCCTTCTTCCCCTCCGCGAGCGCCTGCCCGGAGAAGCGGCGCGAGCAAACGGGGGAGGGACGTGTACACGGCGGTCACCGATAACGAAAACAAATGGGCGTTTCCCGATGTTTTAGGGGAGATGAGTGGGAGAACATCTACATCCGTTAACGTTATTTCGATTTGAGAAGAATGGTTTCCTTTTGACGATAACCTAACAATGGCCAAGTATTCGAAAGAACTGCAGTATGTTTGAGAGTTCAACGGACGAGGCATTACGCAGCTTTGCATCTCGGAGAAACCCGCGAGCCGAGAAATAAGCAAGCCTGGAGTCCACATTCTCCCACGTGACCCCCACCGGGTATCTATTTGTTAACATTAACTACACGGGCACACAAAATTTAAAAAAAATGTCCGACACAAAAAAAATTTACACATGCTTCTCTACGTATGTCAACGCGCTGAATCCGAATCTGAAGCAATAGACAACAGGTAAGAAAGCTAATGTTTCATAATTGCGTAGCATTTCTTCTTTGACAAATTCTCTAAAATTACCAATAACATCTGAAATCAACAAAATGCTTAGATACATGAAAATATAAATACTATATCGGACAATATAATGCGACGTTTATCAAATACTATAGAGTCAATATATGATACTGCGATTTAACGCGAGATATTTGATGTTAGCGTAGGGGCCCGATCTCTCATAACCATTGTGATATCCAAGTACGAAGAGTAGGAGTTTTAAAAAAATTTTGCGTTCCGAAAGTCATAAAAGATTCGTATTGGTTGTTGTAACGTTTTTAACGGCTGGAAGTTGTGTGTGTATTTGGTGGTACTAATTATAAATTTCAGAGAAATCGTTCTTTGATTGCTCTGTGATGAAAAGTTGTTTCATCAAGTACTAAATATCGATTTATCCTTCTCCATTTAAATACAGATATTAAATTATCGAATATCGGTTTTGTATTGCTTGTAGTATTGTATAGTTTTGGAATCAAAAATTGATCGCGGTCCTTGTTCAGCACGGCTTGGGCAGCCCTTGTCATGACAAAACCTCGAAGGGGGAGCATCACAAGCAACCGCAACCAATCTCAACGTGGGAGGAGTAGCCTAACAAAATTACTTCGTAGAAAACGGCCGACTTCGCTATGTGGAAATATTTTCAAATAAAAATTAATGGAATGAAACAATTTCATGAACAGAAAGTAAATGCGTTCAAATAAATATACACACGTATACACTTTACCCATTTTAACACAATTATTTTTGACGAAAATACCTTGCTATGAGACTAATTAACACAAATTTGAGAGCAATTAGTTTGTCAATCACATTTTAATTTCAATATTATTATTCATACACAATCCAAAAATCCAGTTTACTATAGTTTTTATCGATAACAAAACTACTATAAATGCAGATTTGCATTTGTTCGTATGTTTATAAAAGTTTAAATTCGCAAAATCGTGTTTTTTCACGTTTTCCTAGAAGACTTCTAGGAAATCATTGCAAACAGCAAAATTCAAAGATCCTGTGTGTATTTCTCATTTTAACAACAATTAAACTAGATATTTAGCAATAATTTTGGATCTCTTGTCGTAATAGTTAATTGCAATGTTTAATTCCTGGACAATTTGGCGACTCCCAGGCAGGAATAGCGCATATTTCGGAATTTAGGCGCTAGTGATGTTCACATAAACTAGACGAACGTTTAAAAAAAACAACCCTTTTTTCCGTATCAAGGACCCATAATTTCTGAAATCAGACTAGTTAGAGGGAGTAAAGTTTTAGAATAGAATTTATTAACTTTTTCTGAATCGTGGCCCAACGATAAGAGTTTTTTTGTCGAAAAATAGCAATTTTTTGCCGTAGCATTACACAACTTTTTCGATACTATTTATATTACTCCATATACACGTACGTATACGAGAGAGTGAAAATATATTTTCCATTTTCTAGAACCGAGAAATGACGAAATAACACATTTTGTAAATCATCAAAATGTTTTAAATCAAAATAATCAATAATAAAAATGTTTTAAAAATGTCTTTTAAAATTTTTAAGGCAGATTCGATTATATTGTGGACAAAATTACGAAAATTGCAATACCCGTACGATTCAAGCAAGTACGATCTATTATTTCTGAAAAGTCTAGTATTATTAAAAATATATTATGAAGTGTTATTAACGCACTTTTCAGAATTCTCAAAACATATAGAACACTCAAAATATATTTTTTTAGAAATCATTTTGTTTGAGAAAAATTTGAGAGGTCTTGTGTTAAGTCACTTCGATAGCAAAATATAAATCTTGGAAAACCATTCCTACTCCCTAGTTCAAAATTGATACTCCTCTCGGAAGAACAAACGAGAGTAAGGGCCGCTTTAACATCAATCACGAAATTGACCTATCGGTCGAAAATAGTATTCCGTAAACTTATCTAGCTTAGTTTGTGTCTATTATTACTCGCGCAACTTTTCTTGAACGATGACCTTGATCCCCCTCCATGTACAATAAACAGTTAAAGGCAAAAGCTCGCAAGGGGCAATGATGACAACCTTCCAAGCATTAAAAGTTCGTTGGCGCGAAACAGAAGCTACTCAAGGCCAATTGCTTTCATAATGCAGAACCCCTGTTCAGGTTTATTGTCAACAACGAAAGAAATGGCTTAGTCAGGTCCAGGTCCTTCAAGGGAGTCACCTAAAACTCCCGAAAAAGTAAGCACAAGATGCAGTCTTGATTTCATTTACCAGACGTTGTATTATTAAAATACTCTAGTGACCGATTTGTACTAATACCCCACCCACCCGAATAGTCAAGTCCATAGTTTCAAGAAAGTTCCCCGAGTAATGAGTATCATAAGCCCCTTCCTAGCATAGACAGAAGAATGTGCGGATTCTTTAAGATCTTGTTTTTACAAGATAATGCTGTCCAGAATCTCCATGCAGAGACAAAGGGCGAGAGTAACAATAGTTTTTATAAAAAAATAATTGAATGTAGGAACCTGGATAATTATATTTTCAGACAAGAAACGGAAGAAAAAAACAACCCAAATTAACCCAGTAGTCCGCTGGAAATCTTATAAGACACTTCAGGTGTCACTAATTTTTCTTAGTTAAAATATGAATTATCTTAGATATAATTAGTTGATGTTTCAAATAAATCACTATATGAAAGAATATATACAATATCCATTCAATATCTATTTTAGATGTTTGTGTCCATCTTTAAACTACATTATTCACCTTATTTTGTTCTCAGGTTTGTGTTGTCGAGCCACGAGTTTGAAGCGGTAGTATCCTGCGGAAACGCAAGACACATCGAACACACCACGTTCCGATATCCTCGAATCGCTGAAAGTATTGCACAACAACCAGAGCGCAATGGAGGCACGATTTCAAGCAATGGAGGCGCGATTGGCAAAACTGGAGCAACGGTTCGCCCAGGAGCAAAACCGCACAAGAAAACTGGAGAAATCTATCGGGCGAGCGTTGGACGAGGTGATGCCCAAGGTGGAGCAGCTTCTGGCTAGGTACCACTCGCCTCCACCCTCGCGCGAAACGTCTTTTCGTCACGTTGCACCCGCTGGCGCGGCCGCCGCCACAAGTGATGATAGCAGCCCAAGAGACCACGTCGCCTTACCTTTTGCGGCGCCTCAACAGAATGCCCAGCAGGACCTGCATGCTGGCGTACGGAAAAGTAAGTCACGAGCCAATGCTCCAGCCAGCACCAAACCGTGTGAGTGTGCTCTGGTTACTGATGAAGAAGGACAGGCGACGGTTAGCTTCGCTCCTACCAGCGAAGGCGCTGCGCCTGCCTCCAGACCCTCGACACCGCCTCCGCCGGCAGCTTCCGGCGCGACCAACCCTCCGGCGTCGCTGCACGAGGCGGCGGAACGAGGAGATGCGGCGGCGGTGCAGCGCTTTCTCGCCGACGGAGCTCCGGTCGACGCGCGGGACAAAGACGGCAACACCGCGCTGCACATCGCCGCAAGCAGCGGGCGCACAGAGGTTGTCGACATCCTCATCGCAAACGGGGCTGCCGTGGACAGATTTGGCTTCGGATTACGAACTCCGCTTCACTGTGCAGCCGCCAAAGGACATGAGACGATCGTGGCGCGCCTGGTGACCGCCGGAGCTAAACTTGATTCTCGAGACGCAGATGGCACTACCGCTGCCGCCCTGGCTGCTCAGGGAGGTCACCCGGAGGTTGTGCTTTGGCTGTTGGACCGGGGCACGCCAGTGGAGGCAGCCGACAAGGAAGGGAGGACGCTTCTTATGTATGCGGTCGAAGGAGGAAACTTACAATCAGTCAAATACCTTTTGGGGAAAGGAGCGAACCTCAATGCAGTTAACAAGAGAGGAGAGACTTCTCTCTTCATGGCGGCTAAGAAGAAAAGGTTACAAATAGTAAAATATCTTTTGGAAAAGAGTTCCTCACCGTTTATAACAAACAACAGTGATGAATCACCGTTACTGTTGTGTTCTATGAAGGGATACGGTGATCTGGTAGGGAAAATGTTGAAAATGACGGGCCCAAGGGATACAGCTATTTTGAAACGCTGCCTTTGTGCGGCTGGCAGTGCGGACGTGGTGTGGAGCTTCGTAGACGAGGCCCGTGACTTGGTGCTGGGGCGCAGCGGGGGAGAAGCCGCTGGTGGAGCTGCAAGAGGCGGGCGCCTGGGAAAGTGGTGGAGGGTCTGCTCGGGTAGGCGTGAACGGAAGGATTCGATTGAAATGGACTGCGGGGCGCCGCAAGAAAGGACACCCAGAGACTGAATCGTGCGCTGTTGGAGTGGAGTCGACGTCAATGGCGAGGCATTAGAACAGAGGAAACGGCCCTTTGTCTCGCAGCTGTCAATGGTCACGCCGAATGCGTGAAGGAATTGTTTAAGAAGGGAGCGGAAAAGGAACAAATATCGGAAAAAGTGCTTCTGAACGTCGCGAGAGAGGGGCACCTTGATGCGCTGAAGCTTCTGCTTGAGCTCCACGTGATTACGATGTCATGGCGTGAAGAGGCGATGCGGGCGGCCGCAAAGGGAGGACACGTTGGCTGCATCGTTGCGCTATTAGACGCAGGAGTCGACGTCAACGCGAGAGACTGCAACAAGTGGACGGCGCTGCATTGTGCAGCATCAAGTGGGCACTTAGAGTGTGTAAAGGCATTGTTGCGAAGAGGTGCTAAAAAGGGACTAAGGGATTGGTGCGGGTATACAGCTCTCACTCTTGCTATCGAGAATAATCAGGCAGCATGTATTGACATTCTTCGAATCTAGAAACTTTTATATCTTTAGAAAATAGTTCTCTCATTCACAAAGTTGCTAGATTTTTTTGTTACGTTCATGAAGTGAAGCGCTGAAGTGAAATTTTGGATTATGCAACTGTAGAGTGAAGTATGATTTCATAGATGATCAGTTAGAGAGTATAGCTCAGACACAATTACCCCTACCGATTGAAAATCTTGTTACTGATTCTATAAAACTCTAAATATCCTCAACAGCGTTGAATAAATGTAGCAATTATTTGCGACGATGTACTGTTGAAATAAATGTGATTACAAGGCAGCAGTATGTAGCATTTTATTTATGGTCATAGAGATGCTCTGTTCTTGCTGCCAGGATGATTTTAATATTGTAAAAGACGTATTTAATAATGAAAGTTTCTGCTATGAAATTCTTGGGTAACTTATTTATAATGGTAGTAACCAGTGGAAGCAAGTGCCCTAAAAAGTTTTTCTCCAGAATAATGACATTATGTTGTGTGTATGTGGGGGGGGGGACTCTGATGCTGAGACTGGTATACAGAGAATTTGTATGTACGTTTCAGAAATACACTATTAAAAATTTCGCATTTATCTTCGAGACATTCCCATTTCCACATCAGATGTCATTATTTAAAATTATAAATATAAATCATGTGTAATTATCTATTTGTAACAGACGTCGGCTTGCCTTTCCTTACTCATAGTAAATTTTGTGATAACTCTTTCATTAAAGTCTGCTATTCGGGTAGTGAAGTCACGCTCGATAGAAAGCATTGCCTGATCTTGTCATTGAAATGCGCAGGAAATTTTTTAATCCGTTTTAGAGTGGAAAAATAAGGTTGTGCCTCACATGTCATTTTTGGAATGGTGAAAATCACACTTAGCAGTTTAACATTTTGTCCGAAATTTTATTCCATTATCAATATCTGTACTTCTATAGATATATAAATTCGAAATGCGTTGACTTACAGCGCTATAATCTCAGAATCTACTGAACCAATACCGATGAAACTTTTGTGCTATATTCCTTTGTAGGTCTGGAATACTATAGGCTATGATTTATAACCGAAAACCTTAATAGATTTAAAAAATTACCTTTCTGGACATTTTTCGCCCAACTTTCCATCACAGATTCAAGAGTGCATCAATGTAAATAGTTTAGCTGTGTGCCACCAGACGATGACATCTGAGATCTACAATGTCCAGAATTATTACGAAATTATTGGGGTTTGAATACGATTATGTAATGTCCGTGTGTGAACGTTGGTGACTTGTTAGTTCTGAACGTTGGTGGAGCATTTGGAAAAAAGCCGTAACCAAAGTCGTAAATAATGCCAATAAAGTAATATAATACATGCATTGTCTTTAGTCTGTGTTATGTACAAACAATGGCAAGAAAACTTTGTGAGTTTCAAAGTGTTTTTAAAGATTGAGGTAGGACAGTGAAACCTCGTTCTGAATGGCAATTTTCTGTGAAAAAATTGGAGTTGTTTTTAAGAAAATGGCGTTTAATCGCTACGTAAATTCGAAATTCGAACCTTCTTTCACAGGAAACTATTGAGTTTTCGAAAAACTTTATTAGAGGTCATTTGTAGCACATTAACTCACAAATACACTGGTTGGTCACCAAAATTGTCATTTTAAGTCACGTTCAAAATGTTTCTCAACACTTCCCGTACTCCA